CCAACAATATTTTAATCAAGTTCGCCTACATGGTAGGCGAACTTCATTTTTTTTGAATTTTTTTTTTAAATTTAATACTTGTTATCCACTAAAAATGTGACACGTCAGCGAACCGAGGTCGCTTGTGTCAGAAGCGAACTTGCCCCCGTGGCAGATTGAGAAATAACACTGTTCGCGTGGCATTTAAGTAAAAAAGTTGATGAACAATGGCATTTTGGTCAGTATCCCGATGGGTAGGGGTGTAAATGGGTCAGGCTGGCCCAGCCCAGCCTACAACCCGGCCTACATTAAGCCTGACTTGGCCCAGCCTTTCAGAAAAATAGAGTAGGCTTAGGCTTTTAAGAAATTTTTTTTAACAAATAGGCCGTAGGCCAATTTTGTCAAGTCTGGCCCAAAGCCTTGTAGGCTGACCTATTTAATTTATTAAAAATAAAATAATATTTATTTTATGTGGCATGACAAAGTACCGATACCAACCCTAATTTTTAGATGAATGACATTCTCTTGTAGACTTTATTTCAGCACCCAATAATTGTATTTTTCTTATTTTCCCCATTTCTTTGACTCTATTCATCTATGATATACATTCTAAAGCTGAGATATTATGTTGACTCTTTCTTGTTTGTTATTTTTCTCTTATGAGAAGTACTAGTGCATTCATGAATGAAACTTTCTTTGCTCTATACAATTATTTTTTTTGCTTAGTATCTACAGTGGTGGGCCTACAAGGTCTGTAGGCCATGTCGGGCTTTCTTATTTTTAAAAATAGGCCGGGTTTGACCTACAAATAAAGTCTTTGGCAGGCCAGTAGGCCAAATAGGCTGAATTTTTTTTTACGTAAGCTTGGGTCAGGAAGGTCAAAGTCTAGCCCAGCCTAGCCCATTTACACCCCTACTTATGGGGAATCTCCTCCAACCTTTATTTACTTCCATGAATGAGGCATCTTCTCTATTGCTTGAGCTTGCCATTATTTTGCTGAATCAGCTCTTCAGCCATAAACGTGTCCTATTTACTTTCCACCTTTATCATCGTTACAAAAAATGGCGGGTTAGGCCAGCGCAGGAATCTGAAGCTTGCATGAGGTTGAGAGCGGTGCGGTCCACTTTATCCTTGTTCCATGGCGTTTAGGGATTGAATATACTATTAATGTCGTATGTTTCTTTTATATCTTTCCTTGAGTACTAGCTAGTGCTAAGTCATATCATATATGTCGATCGATTGGTAGGAAATGTTCTATGTATGAGTCATCTTGTAAAATTATAAAGCATATGTAAATAACAAATAAATTATTACAGAAAAAAGAAGGATATTGTCGGCCAGCAATATTCTAATAAAAAACCAAATCAATGTGTTACAGCAATATACGCAACGGATGATTAATTTAATATAAAACAAAATAATGTGTCGCACAACCGACGGTGTCCACTATCAAATGCAATTAACAGTTATGCATTAAATAAAAAATAAAAATTCTTGCCGTCCTGTTGAAGGACGAAACACCAGTTCCAAAGCAAAATCTTCTTTACATGAATGTCTATTTTTTAATTTTTCTTGTGTTTACAAAGTTATATTTATAAATTTTAATAAATTAAATTTTGTATTTTCAGAAATACAAATATTTAAGCGTATATTTTTTGAAATACATAATTCGATTTGTAAGAGTTTATAAATAAAAAATTTATAAATATAACTCCTCTCTTCTATTTTAATTTTATGGTAAAGTCTTATATTATATGATGTCATTTAAATTCTTTGCTATTTATTAAAATACCAATCATGTCCCTTAAAAATATTAATTTAAAGAGACGTATGAATTTTTTTAAATGTGCATTTGCTTTACCAAAAGAACTGACAGAAAATATATAATTTTAATCATAGAATTAGTTTAGAAAAATTACTTATAATAAGGAGGAATGTCAACTACAACATTAGGGAATATGCGCTAATCCATCTAACTCCTTGTCTTAGCACCGTCTCACCCTACGTCTCTTCCCCTTCACCGCTGGCAACTCGTGAGAAAATTTTTGGTGCACGGCAAGTATTATTTGGTGCTCCTTTTTTATTAAAATAAATTTTTCCCCCTTTACTTATATATATAATTTTTTTTTTTTTTAAGTTCTAATTTTCTTTATTTTTAATAAAATGAACACTCGATGCAAGAAAGTTTTTCTCCATGTAGCATAGCTTCACGAGAAGTGGACTACACCTCATTGAATTTATAATTATGATATAGGAAAAATATTTTAGGTACATTAAATATATCAGAGCATTCAATACATCTTTTATTAAATATAAAAAAAAATTATATTACTTTTATTTTAATAATTATTCTCTTCTATATTTTTTTATTTATTTTTAGAAACGAGAGTACATACTCCCTAATTATAGAAAATGTGCTCCGGTGTAGGATCAAGAAAGTGACGTCGCTGTCACCACCTATGCCCGTCTGCTTACCAACCACGAGTTCTTTCGTAAACTTGGCAAACTAATATTAGTACTTTTCTTTTAAGGGTTTTCATTTTATCCTTTAACATAACACAATAAATTTTTCTACACTCACAATATTTTGTGGAGCCCACACTTATTAAAATAAAAAAATAAATAAAAAATTAAGGTACGCAAAACGAATATCTATAACATTACACCATCACTTTTCTTACAACATAACTCTTATAAAACCCTCATTTTAATAACTTAGTGGAGAGAAGATTTACATCTCCAACCAATTGTCCTTCATATTCAAATTGGCACATTGCGTGCGGGGCATTATTTATGAACTGATGTTTTAAATTATAAATAAAATATTTTAATTAATTGGAAATTGATCGATGCGTGCTGGAAATGTTACGTGCTATTTGGTTCAAAATTTCTTAAAACTTACCTACAAATCAAATTGGAAAAATAAGAAAACAATGTTTGGTAGACACTTTTACAAGATTTTTCTAGATGTTGTATTTGCATAACATTCCTTATTTATTCGTAGAAAGCAAGCAAAAGTTATTATTTGTAATGACAACTTGCGGGTGGTATTTTACATTTAACCGGTTAAATGGCAAAAGAGCAATCCACTAACAGACCTAAATACCCTCATCTAAAGCGCCAAAGTTTCACTTTTTTTATGGGATTATATTTGTAATTTTATACCATTTATCTATCAATATTTTATTCTCAATCAAACATAAGTTTCAAAAACTTTAATCAATTTGCCTGGTAATATTTGGCCTAATCAAACAACTTTTTTTTTTTTTTAACTTTTCTATCTAATTCACTTTTCTTGTAGATTCTTAATAATTACATTTATCTGGTAAACGAAAATTTTCACTTGAACCAAACTACCGTAACAATGACTTTGAAATCAATTTATGGTGAAAGTTATTGGCGAATTAATTACAATAAATGGGATGAGAGTTGAAAAGTAAAATTGACATTGGAATCCATTAATAAGGAGGGTTACTAAATGATGAATTAATTACAATGAATAGGATAAGAGTTATAAAAAGGTGAATTAATAGGCACAGTTTTTTTCACATTTGTCTCGATTTGAATCATAGTAATTTTTTTTAATGAAATGAGAGTGACGCTAATACAAGAGTCTATTAGTAATAATACTCTTTTATTTATTATGAGGGTAATTTTTTTACAGATAAAAAACATGACAAAAATTTTCTTGTGCACACCCAAAATTTAAACTTTTTATAGGACACAATCCTGAAAAGCACAGGAATGCAATTTGGAGCCCTCTTGAACCACTTGATGAGCAAAAGTCTTCCCGGCTGAGTGCATCCTACGCCAGTGTTATGCAAGACTGAGTTATCTTCCACATATGTAAGCTATGTTGACATTTTCAAAGTTCGGATGATGGATTAAAATGACAACAATATAATAAATATATGGGTTTATCATCTATCATTTAACATGACCACAAAAAGTTTCCTACACACACAATATTTTGTGGGGCCCGCAGCAAAAAAAAAAAAAAAAAAACTTCAGCACGCAAAACGAATCTCTATAACATAACACAATCATTTTTCCTACAACATAACTCTTATAAAACCCTAAATATATATAAGGGTTTCTCTTTTCTCGTGTCACATGAAATAATATTTTTCATGCTATAGACACAACAAGTGATAAGTCCCATCACTTGTTAAAAAAATAAAAAATAAAAAGAAGATAGCACAGATTTTAATACCTCACAAAATGATTTCCCTATATATAATTAGAGTAACGTTGTATTTATAATTTTTTTTTTAACAAATTTGGCTAATTTTTTTGGAAAGTACATAAATAGAGGAATATACTATCCAAAATATATAGTTTGTAAATAAAAAAATTATAAATATAATCTACTTATATAATTAGGTAGGATATTCATACTATTATTTTTTTATTTCCAATTTATTATCACTCTAATCACCGTTGAATTAAATTTTTTAGCCTACAGTTATTTGAAAATTTCTGAAAAGTTTTTTAAGAGAGAGAAAAGAAAAAATTTTAATATTATAAATATAAACATGGGGAAGGATATACTTACCATCAAAAAAATTTACCACATTTACACCAACTTAATCATCGTTGATTTCCGTCAATCTAATGGTTATACTTTATTAAAAATTATTGGATTGTACTTATTAATTAATTATTAATTTTGAATAAATTATAATCGTTAGATTGACGGAAATTAACAGTGATTAGATTGATTATAAAAATAATAAATAATTTTGATAATAAATATATCCTGCTCCTATAAATATATACTTCACGAAATATATAATTATAATGAATGATAGTTAAAAAAAATGATAGTATAAATATTCTATATAATAGCTCCTGAATATTCCAATAATATGATTAGCACGGAAAGTTAAAAGGGAAAATGTCATGCGTCACGACCCCTTTAAACTATTCTATCGTACATAATATATATATATATATATATATATATATATATATATATATATATATATATATATCGTTGAAAGCAAAAGAAACTGAGAAAGCTTAATGTCAGTGAAGGCAGAGAAAGCCATGCCGGTGAAAGGGGAAGGAGGAGTTGATCCTAGAGGAACTATTCCCTTGAAACAGCACTTTGTGCTTGTACATGGCATAGGTGGAGGAGGTTGGTGCTGGTACAAAATTCGGTGTCTTATGGAGAATTCCGGCTACAAGGTCTCCTGCATAGACCTAAAGAGTGCGGGAATTGATCAATCTGATGCTGATTCTGTTCTAACTTTTGATGATTATAATAAACCTCTCATGGATTTCATGTCTGCTTTGCCGGAGAATGAACAGGTATTGGTCCCATTCTCTCCATATGTCTCTTTCTCCACCTTATATATTATATGGGAACATTTGATCAACTAGAGTGGCTATACCAGCTGATCGTATCAGTCATGTGCTTTCTATAGGTTATATTGGTGGGGCATAGCGCAGGAGGGTTGAATATAACTCAGGCTTGTCATAAGTTTGCCAATAAGATCAACTTAGCAGTGTATGTGGCAGCAACTATGCTCAAGTTGGGATGCTGGACCGATGAAGATCTTAAAGATGTGAGTCCTTTTCACAAAACCTTGTTCTGTTTACCCTCTTTGAATATCTTGTTCTTTATTTTGTTTCTTAAGATTTAATTCATTATGCCATGCGTGTTTCTTTTTTTAAACCCGAGCTTGGTAATAGAGTACTATGATGATTAATTGAGTTGCCATGTGTGTGCATAAACTTGGGGGGTGAGTGAATATGATAGTGATGTGTATTGGCTTCCATTGTTGTTCAGTGTCTGGAATCTTCAAGGTTTCCAGCAAGGATGATGTTGATGCTCTGTTGAAATAATTGGTTGCCAACTGTTTTCACAAAAGGACATTGGTTCTTAGGCAACTGAGAGGCTTTTTACAGTTATGCATGTACCTACTCTCACATTTTTCTTAAGGTTAGCGCCATAAACAAACCAACCAGCAGCTGTTTAGCAATAGGGAGTTTGTTTAGCAAAAAGGGATTATTATTTTTTAACCAAAAAAGTTAGGAATTTCTTTCTTTTATTTTATCTTCCTGTCTTCTCTCCCTTCTCTTGGAGACAATTCTTATTTTATTAGCTTATTATTAGAGTTCTCAATAGTCAATGGCCTTGATGTCTACTTACCTCTTTTTCAGGCTTTGACAACGAACTATTTGTAATTTAATAATGGTAAACAAAATGGGTATATATTCTGACCCGGGATGCTTGTAGTTTACATTATATAAAATGTTGATTTCAATTCATAAAAATGATGAAAAGGAATCTAAGACTAACCCAATCTCTTAGGTGCCTAGAACTAGAATGTAAACGGACAAAGCTAATTGTCTTTTATGCTTAATCATTGTAGCAACTTCATTCTAATAAAGTTTCCTGTTTACCTTTCCAACCGTGTCTACCCTCAATTATCATCAATAATTGTGTGCCATCTAAACCCCTTTAAAATAACAATCCTTTTATTGGTCATTATAAGCGTCCTTGCTAGCTATCTTGTTTGGAGACAAGAAATTGTAGAATCTCTTTCTTTCTTCCTTTTCCTCCACCTTAACGAGTGCAATCCGACAGCCGTGTCTGTTCCATAGGTCTACCTTGTCCTCCGGAGGTAATAGAAAATTTTCATCGTGTTCAATGTATCTCCAATAATTGAAAAGAAACAAATAATTAATGAGCCTAATTGATACAATTGTATGACACTAGAGTAGCTAGTTTTCTTTGTGCCTCTAGTAAATCATAGATATAATGATGATTAGAAAATGTTTCTGGTTTGTGTCAAGCAGGGGGCACCTGACTTATCTGAGTTTGGGGATGTGTACGAGCTAGGATTTGGATTGGGACACGATAAGCCTCCAACCAGTGCTTTGGTGAAGAAAGAATTTCAACGCAAAATCATCTATCCTTTGAGCCCTCATGAGGTGTATTTCTCTCTACCCAAAAAAAAAAACAAAAGAAAAAAAACATATAAAGGACATGCTGAGCATGCAGTCTTTATAAAACTGTTGGTCACTTTCTAGGGCCATTTTGCCGTAGGGTACCCCACATGACATATGCTTTGGTTTATCATCAATTTCATTCACTGCTTTTGCCACATGTAGGACCATTTATGGCATTTTTTCTTGGGAAAAGAAGAAAAACAAAGAAAATTCTTTCAAATGATAACAACTTTAGCAAATATTCTAGCCAGTATTTGTAATCTACTCAAGCTTTTAAAGTTAGAAAAGATAGTGAACATATGCATGTGCACCAAAATTCTCACCAATCTTAGCAATGAATAGTGTAATGACACGCTTAGAAATGTTGATCATGCCTAAGGATTCGACCTTGGCTGCAATGCTGTTGAGGCCAGGACCATTGCTAGCGTTGACCAGTGCACAATTCACAGAGGATGATGAAGTGGAGAAGGTGCCACGCGTGTACATAAGGACAAGACATGACAGGGTGATGAAGCCAGAGCAACAGGAAGCCATGATAAAGAGGTGGCCACCATCTACTGTGTATGAACTTGACAGTGACCATAGCCCCTTCTTCTCCACCCCATTTGTCCTCTTTGGTTTGCTTGTAAAAGCCGCAGCTTTTGATGGTGGATGCAACTAGTTGAGTACAGAGGCACCATGTTTTTATTTTCCATTTCTTTGCTCACCAAAATCAATTTGCTAATTAATTTATCAAAAATATTGATTGTGTTATGATGATTATGCAATTCTCCTATGATTTGTTTGGTATTATTAAAATGTGAGCAGTGGATAGAATAAACTGAAATGATTGGCATCGAATTCGATAAAAGCAATAGGTGAGTGGGGATGAAAACAAGGCGTTCTAAAACTAATCATCGTGATATATTACTTTTATCATATGGAGAAAGAAAAAAATAATTGAAGAATAAAATGACTGGGAGTGGATCTTCTTATGTGTTAATTAACATGACCATGTCATGTGGAGCAATCATAATCATACATGGGTGAGTCAATGATGATAAGGGAGGAGAGAAAAAAAATGTAAGGATAGTCTTTCTGTTTCTGGGGCTTAGCCCCTCTTTATTTACAAAAAAAAATAAAAAAAAATGTAAGGATAGGAAGTTACACAATCATTATTATTGATTTAATTATTAATGGTTAAGATCCTTCCATATGACATGATCATGTTAAATTACACACGAGATAATCTATTTCCAAAATGACTAGAGAGCCTCTGGGATTGCTTGCTTATGTATCATTATAATGGAATTTTAGAGGGAATGTCACTGTCCATCCCTATCCTCATCAGCTATGCAACTTCTATTAAAAGCATCAAGCATAGGAAATAAGAATAGAACATGTTCTTTGCATACGCCACATGCATGAGAATTTATGTGACTAAAGTTGATGGATGATGCTTGCATAATCATTGTATTAACTGATTTACACAAACCATAAAAGTGACTTTGATTGGGCTTAAAAGAGAGTATAAATTGGGAGATACTTAATTTTAGATGGAGTTACGATTTTGTACAAATGTGAGAATTGTTTATTCACGTGTGATGATTTATTAATTGGAGAAGTACACGACATTTTTTAATATACTCCAGGAGTATAAAACAAATTTGTGCTCCTTTTCCTTTTTTTGGTAAAAAAATTACTCTTATACCTCTCTCTTTTCTTATATTTTTCTCCCAATCCCTTTTTATTTTCTATTTTTGATATGGAGCATCGTGCTCCCGGTCCACAAAAGAAGCGCTCGGAAGTATACCATATACAAGTACATGAAACCATGGAATATAGAATAACTATCAAAATTAATAAATATATCTAGCAATGAGCCAAATTATAAATCAGTGAAGTGACATTATATGTTAACCCAAACTTTAAGATTATAGGTCTACGGAATTTTTGCATTTATACAATCATCATTTGATTCACTTTTAATCAATGTGAAAATTTATCACTATTCGTATTAGAATATTTCCAACAGACAGCATATGATTTTATCCTACCTACATCATAGTCAATAGGAGATTAAAAAGAATTGGTGTTTTTATGAGAATACGAACATCAATGTTGTTTAAACCGGACCAAATATGTCAATCCCTAGCTGTTCAACTGGGAATTAGGTCATTAACATTGAATTTATGAGTTGATGTTTTTTTTTTTTACATGTAATATCTACCACTAAACCAAACCAATGCCGTATGATTGTTATAATGCTTATATTATTATATTATTATATGGGAAAAGTGTGCTATTTTAAAGGATGTAAAATTATGTCATTTTAAAAGAGAGAAAGAGAAAGAGATAGATAAAGGAGGGGAGAGAGTTGATAAAAAAAATAAAGGTGTGAGTCTCACCTCTTTGTGAGAGTGAAAAAATATAAGTTGTGTCATTTAAAAGGATAAACATTTTTTCCTTATTATATATTCTTATGTATTAATTTAATTAATGATTTATTAAATCGGTAATGCCTTAGCTCAATTCAATATATAAATTATTGTTTGTTATATTATAGGAGATAATTTTATTTTTTAAATACACATAAAAATATATGGAACCAATTTTTATTTCTTTTTTTTTTCTGATAAACTCTCTCTTCTTTTCGTATAGAGTTTATTTATTTATTTATATATATATATATATATATATATATATAAAATAAAATTATTTCTGAAACATTAATTCCTTTAACATAATATTGAATAGCAAATCTAATTCTTTATTATAGTACAGATGATATGGTCCCGAGCGTGGGGTCCACTAGATTCATAATCCACATGGCATGTTGGGCATCGAGTGTGAGCCTGTAAGGGATGGGCCAATCTATGCTGGTATGAGTACGGAAATATCTTCGGTACTACAGCAGACTCCGTTACACGGACACGCAAATTTTGTTGAAATTTACGTGTTGGACACGTGTCCGACACGTTCGGACACGCGGTCAACTCTCCGATACGTTCCGACACGCGGTCAATATTTGGGGACACGCGGTCAACATTTAGGGACACTTTTTTTGTTTTATTTTTTTATTTTTTTAAATCTTAATTTTATTTTATTAACTAAATATAAAAGAAATAATTTATAAATTAATTTTTTTCTGTTATAAAATTAGACATTAAAAATTAACAAACTACGAAAAATTATTTATATTTATATTTATGTTATGAAATTTAAATATTTAATTGATTATATTACTTATTATGGACTCTTATATGTATTAAATATAAATCATATTATATATATTAAAATTTTTATTTAATATGAAAACGTGTTCCAACGTGTCCAAATATGCCTTTTTTTAGAATTAACGTGTCGGCGTGTCGTGTCGTGTCCCGTGTCCCGTGTCCGTGTCCGTGCATCATAGACAACAGAGAGCGAATAAAATGTCAAAAACTGAAAAACATGATTTTGTTGTCAGCATATCCTTTGCAAAATCATGAAAACAACAAATAAAGTAAAAATAATGTGACATTTTTGTAATTATTAAAAAATATCAAATGAAAATGAAAAAAATAAATAAATCAAATGCAAGCATATATTATTTTTATTTTATTTTAGTTATACTTAACAAAATATACTAATATAGTTAAGAATTTGGAGATTTCAAAATTTAAATTGTAAAATTTTATTTATTTTATAGTTGTGATTAATTATTTAGAATTAGGATCTAATATAAATAAACTTAGTGTAGAAAAATTTACTATATTTAATGTCTACTAAATGATAATATAAGATTTTACACCATTGGAGTCCGTTCGTCATTGTTGCCCTTCACCACCGTGCCCCATCACCACTGTCAACAATCACCTTCACTTCCGTCCTTCGACTATTATCACTGGCAATGTCTTCCAATGAAATTTTAATTTAATTCAGAATTATAATTCTATAGTTCTCTATACGTGGAAATACATCCTCTCATGTTCAAAAAAAATGAAATGATTATGTGAAACAATCATAACCATACAAAAGTAAATCAACGATTATGATTTAGTAATTATCTATTTCAATATTTTTTTTCTCTCCTCTTTTATCATTATTGATCAATTTTTGTATGATTATGATTAGCCACATAACAATATCATATCTTTTTCAACTTGAGATAATCCACTCCCATATAAAACAATTATGGAGGTTGAGAGTACCATATGTCTCTCTCATGAGATTACTAAGAGTTTAATTTATATTGTTATAAAATGATCTTGCTGCATATTAATATAAGAATAACAACTCTTACCTCCCATATTAATTGTTGATCCTACTACATTTAATAAATCTAATCTATTAGTAAAGTGAGTTGCAAGTAAAATCAAAGACTAAGATTTAAAATGTATTAGGGGGTGTTTGGTAGAGGAGAAAATTTTTTTACCAGAAAAATATAATTACTAAGAAAATGGTAAGAAAGTCAGTTTGATAGAAAAGTTTTAAAAAAATGTTTGGTAGACCGAAATATTACCGGAAAAATTTATTTAAATTTGTAAAATCTATGTTCCGGAGGAACTTCGCACCTGTTTTCACTTCCCCAGTTATCTCAAAACACCACATCTCAAGTAGTATTTTGTAACAGTAAATTTCACCAAAAAAATTAACAACACCAAAATCATTTTCCAGCCATCCTATTTGCCTAGTATTTTTTTTAAAAATCTTGAACCAAACGTGGTATTTTTCAATACCCACCCACACTTCCCCATCAAACCCAAAATAAAATTTCTACCAAACATACCCTAACTTATACTAAGATGATCATCATCTTTGTATATATACAAACTAAGGGGAAATAATTTGTCTTTTTAAACGATGTAATTTATGTCATTTCAGCAATTTATAACTATGTACTAAGGGTAGTACATAGTTATAATATTAAGTTGTATTTTTCTCTCTTTCTTCAGACACTGTTTGTTGACGTGAAAAATAAAAAAATAATAACTTTAATATTATAACTATGTATTACCCTTAGTACGTTATAAATTGATGAAATGACATAAGTTACATCTTTTAAAAGGATAAACTTTTAACCCATAAACTAATAGATAAGTGAAGTAAAAGAATTAAACTATGTAAAGATGAATCTAAATGTTGGGTAAATTTTTTGTCTTGATGTAATACATACTATACCTATATAAATAAATTTATGTGATTTAGAAATGAAGCTGCTGCCGAGAAAATGACTGTAAACGCAGATAGTTAAATTTATGTGTTATACTTGTAGTGCCATTACAATGGGACTACAAATTTATCCCTAAATGCTTGAAAGGAAAAGAAAATGTTTGTTAACCGGGCACTTTGGTCTGCACAATGAAACTTGAATTATTTCCATAGACCGAACAACAATCAGCCAAAAGTTTCAAAAGGTAATAAACAGAGTGAAACATGAAAACTTTGAATGCCAACATGAATATAAACATTAGTATTTCACAATGAAATATGCTTATTGCTTGAGGACAGAACAGAATACGAGGAAAGCCCAACAATCTCTTGACATTATCTCCTAAAACTCTCTCAACTGCAGTTAGTAGGCAAAAGAGTTTATGGTGTCTGCACATTAGACTCAGACTCAGAGGATGGCCTGTTCTTCAACTCAGGGTGTTTAATTTCCTCTATCATTCTAGCAACTTCATCCATTCTAGGCCTTGTATCTGGCACCTTAGCTACACAAGCCAGTGCAATCTGAAGCATCTGCACCATTTCCTCTTCAACATATTGGCCTCTCAGAAGCTCCTCATCAAAGACTTCAGCTGTCCATTCTTCTCTAACAACAGACCTCACCCACCTTGGAAGATCAACAGCTTCATCAAACCCTGGATATCTCATTGGGGTCTTGGCTGTTAGCATTTCAAGTAGAAGCACACCAAAGCTGTAAACATCAGATTTCTGTGTGATCTTTCTGGAATCAGTAACTTCTGGAGCTCTATAGCCATTGAGTCTGGACATGGTTGCTGAGGTATTCATCAAAGGAGGCAATCCAACATCAGAGATGCAGCTATCAAGTTCTTGAGTTATGAGCACATTGGTTGACTTTATGTTTCCATGTGGAAATTTTGGACCCCCCTCGGAGTGAATGAAAGCAATTCCCTTTGCAGCTCCAAGTGAAATCTTCACTCTTGAATCCCAATCTAACGGAGTTCTTCCTGCACCACGGTTTTCTATTGTTTGGAATAGAAGAATTAGGCAAAGATATAGAATTGTTACAATTCACATTGGTAAATACATGTGACAATTAGTTCCAAGAGTTACTTCAAAAGGAAACAGGGTTCTTTCAAGGAATTAAAAGCTTAATTTAAAAAATGTTCAATCTTCTTACTAGCACATTACCTGTTTGGCTGCATATATAAGCATGCATTGCACTATTTTGTTTCATGAGTCAACGCTTTTATAATCTTGTTTTTTTTATTTTTTTGGTAATGATATGTTAATGCATACAGTAGTCTGCAAGCTAGCATACCATCATACTGGCATGATTTAATAAGTAACTACCTAACCATATTGGCATAAAATCACCGATGACATTATGGACCCAAGTCACATAAAGCCAACTTGATTATATTTAAACTTTCATTGTCACTTCCATTTCCTAATTGAATTTGATGATTGATTGTGAGTAAAGTTGATTTATCCTAGTTTGGTTAAAACTCAGAGGCTCATGTAGAAATAATAAAAAATGCTACTTCTGAACAAACTGAGCACAGTTTTGCTATAGTGTAGAACGTACCATGCAACAAGTAAAACAAGCTGCCTCCTGGCATGTAGTTGTAAACTAGAAGTTTCTCATCTTTGGAAAAGTAATAAGCTCGAAGGGGCATGACATTGGGGTGACTTCCAAGTCTCCCTACAAATTCCATATGCTGCTCAAACTCCTTCTTTCCAACCACAACTTCCTTCAATCTTTTAACTACCACTGTTGTTCCCTCCTCCAAAACAGCCTTGTATGCTGTTCCATAGCTCCCTTTTCCAAGAACTTCAGCTGAAGCCTTTAGCAAATCCTCAAGGTCAAAGCTACAAGAGCTACCTTCAAAGAAAAATAACTTGTTCTTTTCAGCCGTTTGCACCCCACTACCAAAACTCTTTGAGACCTCAGTCTTTCCAGCACAAGACGCCTTCCCTTTCAGTATGCCACTGCTTTTGCTGTTTTTCCTCTTCAAACAGCATACAAAGATCACTAAAACTAGTAGAGAGAGGAATGCAATGCCTCCAATGACTAGAGCAAGAATAGTAGCTAGGCCAAAGGTTTTCTTATGGGTGGTAGCTTTTTGGTTTTGGGTAGTTGCTGGAGAGAATTGCTGGTAAACAGGAGAAGGAGATGGAGAAGGGGAGATTGTAGAACAATGATTTAGAGGTGGCCCACATAAGAGAGAGTTCCCAACAAAAGAAGTATAAGGGAATGTTTTGATGGAATTTGGAATTGAGCCATTCAAGTTATTATAGCTCAAATTCAAATATTTGAGTGCTGGAAGGTTGAAGTCAGGAATAGCTCCAGATATGGAATTATTTTGGAGATACAACCAGGTGAGTCTTCTTAGGTTCTGAAATACAGGAGGGATACTGCCAGAGAAGGAGTTAAAGGAAATATCCAATGCAATGAGTTTAGGGGAGACAGTGGAAGGAATTACACCTGAAAAGTAGTTATGCTGAAGGTGTGCAAATTGGAGTGAAGGAATGGAAAGGATGTTAGAAGGAAGATTTCCTCTAAGGCCATTGGAATGAAGACTCAGGACCCTAAGAGCATCAAGTTTTCCTATGGTGTTCTCTGGAATGGACCCAGTTAATCCAATTCCTGGAAGATGGATGCCTATGACACGAGTTCCATTAGAGTTGCAAGTTACACCAACCCATGAGGTACAAATTGAAGTAGAGTCATTCCAGTTGAGCCTTGGGGCATGTGGAACAGTAGAAGCAAACTCCAAGAGAGCTTGTTTGTCAGAGTTCAAGTCAGCAACTATCAAGCCAAAGAGAGAGAGGGTGGAGCTTAACAGAACAAGTGCAATACTAAAGAACTGCAACTTCATGGGTCTTGATTGGTGAGAAATCGAGGCAACTGATAGTTCAAAGTTCTGAGCTTAACTGTTCTTCATCCTTTCCTGGCTAAGTTGTTAGCTGGTCATATAGCTAGGAAAATAGAACATATATAAAAGTTAAAATTAACTATTTTTCATTCAAACAAATGGAACCATTTGGGGGTAAGTATGTTTGCATGAACCTAGTCTAAAATCAGTGATAATTTTCAATTTTTAAAGTGAAGCAGAATTCAAACAGAAAGTGATGGTATTGAATAGTTTACAGGATGAAACGGGCTATGAATTTAGAAATTGTACAGAAATGAATTCAAATAATTTGAACATACTTCTTTCACTAATTTTTTTTGACGTTGAGTACGAAAATATTTGTGTTTATTCAGAAAACATCACTTATTGCAGCTTTGCATATAACAAAAAAGAATATCAAAGCTTACCATGAAGCAGGTAAGTAAGGAAGGAAAGGTACTTCCTTCTTTTCAGATGCATCAGTTGAGCCATTGTCGTTTTTCAATACTTCCAAGTGTTTTAGTGACTCTTCCATTTAAAAAGAAAAAGTAAAAAGCCAAAGGCTTGCCTTGGAACTTTAAATTATGGAGGACTAAAGTGCACTTTGCTCTGAGAATAAAGAAATCGCATCACAAATTGTTCCTTGTATGTTTCAGAAACAACCGGGTAGGGAGGGAGAAGGGGAAAATAAAGGCATTGTGATAATTGAGAATCCAAGAAAAAATAGAACTAAAAAAGAAAAAGCTAAAGTTTGATTCTCCTTTAGTACTTTATAAAGAAAAAGCATTATTTGCCAAAAGTAGCGGCATTCACCTAAGTTAAAAAAATAAAAATAAATCATTGGTGTTGATTTCTCATTTTTGCCACCTTATCTGGTCAGTGATTACTGCAGAAAGTTCATCTTGTAGTACTGAAAACTATTTAAGGAACCAGATTTAGACACGTAAAGGAAGATAGGGTGATTAAAGGTATGCAGATGGGTAAAGTCTTGCACTAAACAACTCAAAGCAAGAATACCATCACCATTTCAACAAAAACAACTTGCTTATTCCTCCAAAAAAAGGCAAGCAAAACAAAAGATTTTTGTCTATCATCCCAATTCCCAACTAGAGAAAACATTAAAAATAACAAAGTCACGAGAGAAGAGGAATTGAAGACATAATATATCATACTAGAATAATTCTCCAATTGCAAGCAGAAGAAGAAGGATAAAAACTTTTAATAGGAATCAGGATCCAAGAACAATTTAAAACTATGAGCAGCAAAGGTAACCAGAAATGGACAAGCTTGCTAAGAAACACCTTATATTTTCCAATCTTCAAGCATGGATGTCATAATAAGTGTTCCAAGTTAGGGACTGCAAGTATTCAAATAGGGACTTACAGGAAGTGAAGGATATTACCTCAGTATGAAATTCAGTTTTGGCACACCAAGAACACAAGCATCACTGTACCAAACTGAGTAAGGGGATATCATCAAGTTCAAGAAAGAAAGCAAGTTTAATAAAGCACAATACCCTCCATTTTCCATGAAATGTAGCGCAACAGAACTCCTAACATTTTGTGCATTCAACACTTGTATGAGTTCAAACTTTAGAATTAAGAGGGAGGTTAGGTTCTCTTAATTACAGTTTTACCCGTAATAAGAATCTGATTTTTTTTCTCTTGTAAAGAGATTCACACAGCCAAAAAAAGAGATGATAAAAAAAAAAAAAACAAAGTATTTTTCCTACTTAACTAAAATGACAGCAATAATGGGGGATATTACCACCAAAGCCTTTTTTTATCTAACTAACTTGTATCAGTACATTAATGTCCACATTTTGCTGTTGAAAATAGCCCAACATAAAAGGAACATTGTATCAATTGCGTAGATCTAACTGTATGAAAAGAAGTACCAAGAGTGCAGGAGAATAAATGAGGATTTGCTGACATGTCTTTGATATGACAGTTGAGGGACCGTTAATAGAGTACTACTACTAACTAACCCAATACCCCATGATTTTTTACATTCAATAAGACAGAGATTTTAACTATTCTATTTCTATCTACAGTAAAAGCTTTTAGAATTTCGAACTCCAGCTCCCTCAGTTATGAGGGACAATTATTTTTTTAGCAAGGGGTATGAGCCAGCACTCTGTCAAAACTCCAAAACTTACATGAATGACTGCCACAATGGTATGATGGGAGTTAGAAACCTTTTTTTTGTATAAGGAGTTAGAAACCTTTAGTTATGGAGTAATTACAGATTCAATAAGAGGAAAAAGATTTGACATAATTACATGTTTTGAATTCATATTCAACGACGAGATCATCTTCTGTACATCTGTAGTATATACATCTCTCCTTTCCATACAAGCATGACAGTCATTCCTCATTTTTTATTGGATAGATGTACTGAGTGAATAGTACAGCAGTATTATCATAGATATTTCCTTCAACAACCAAATCCATCATAATGGTCCCCATGAGGAATAAAACGAGAAGTCACTATGGTGGGCACTTTAGCATTGTACTAACTTCTATGGACCATAATTTGGTATTAATGAAGGAATTAGCTCAACTCACAACCGACCTTTGTTAATTTGTTATCCAAATCTGTTGCAGTATTTGGTTAAATATTTTGATGCTTACTTAGTTGTCATCTTCCAAACTGTTTGCTGTTGTTGTTTGACTACAAATGAATAAGAAGACGACATGTCATGAACTACAACTAAGATAATGGTGTTAAACACACACTAAACATTTAATTTTGGCATATATTGGCTAGGTTTATGAATTATGAGAGGGACTAGACCATAATGGGGTCAACCGTGTAATGAGTTACCCATAAAAGCACGAAGAAAGTAGTTGGCTGTTACAGAACCATTTGAAATCCTTCCTCCTTTCCTCACTAATGTCATTGCTATTATATGTAGGTAGGCTGTCACTTATAACTCATCATGTCAACATTAACCATCACTGACACTTTCTCTGTTTGGAATTTGAATAAATCGGTATGATAGTTAGGATTTTGGCAATAGAGCATAATTTTACTTTGTGTGAAATATTTAGTAATGATTTCTATGGAAAAGATGTCCTCTCAAAAAGTTTTTGTCATGATGAGATGCACTTGTACAAGTGAGAAAATTAAACCAAGTTAACTAACAATTCTCTATTTATATGCTAAGGAAAATTAATTTATCCAATTGGACCTGATGGTCTATTGGGGGTCTAAAGACTAATAAAGTTTAATAAGGGGCGCAAGCCTCAACAGAAAGTTTAAGGGCCTCTTATAGATCATGAACTTTGAATTCCCATACACATATAGCTTTGAGACAAGTGCCTCATTAGTATCATAAGCTACTTGATTTCAGCAGTTCATTTTTCATTTCGATTCCAGACACGGTGTAGATGTACGGTATAATAGCCCTCATTAGTAGTTATGGATTTAATATTGAAGGATAAGTATAAAGAAAAAGAAATAAGTCACCTTTGGTGAAAAAGAGAGTTAAAATGACAGTAAAGTAGTAAAAATGCGGGTAAATAAAGTTATCCAAAAAGTGAAAGTAAATATAAAAAAGTGACTAGAAAAATATTCTAGTCCATAGGGTAAAGTTTGGTAATGAATGGAGGTGTGTAGATAGATAAGCTTATACCCACTGATAAAGTAAACTCATTAATTGACTCAATTAAGTCACTATTCTCCTTCTTCTACGTTTCATCCGACGACAGTAAGGGAAAGAAAGAATGGAGATTTTGGTTTTAAATCTTCCAAAATTCATAACTTGAGCTAGAGACCTCCAAATCACTCCGTTCCAAAGCCAAACCTGTGAGAAATTTCGAGAGGAACCTATTGGTACCAATATTTCTGGGTGGGGTTCACTGTAGAGAGAGATCTTCTCCCCCAAAGATTTCGAATTTCATGGAAAAGATAGATTTTGATGGAGCTTGAGGCCATGGGAGCTTAGGAACTCATCTCTCCTTTGTTCTAGAGTGCATTGTGGTAAGAAATTCCCTTCCTTTTCATGTTTTTATGAAGATTGAATTTAGGTTTTCATTTTGAAAATTTGTTTTGATTGAGCATGTTAGAGCTTGATTCAAGTTTAGCTCATGTTGAGAAAAGTGTTTAGATGAGAATTTTAACGGTGAAAATGTATTTGAAAAAATTAAAGATAACGTATTTTTGAATAGTGTCGTATACGTGAATAATGACGTATACATGAATAGTAATGTAGAGAGGAACAGTACTGTATATATATGAATTAATGAATCTTGGATTAAAGGTGTGTGATAAGCTTGAATTTGATGGACTAAAGCATTGGAATCATGAAGTTGGCATGATTTCTTGTATGTGCCTCTTAGCCATTTTCAAAGGAAGTATGTGCTATGAGTTACTGTTTTACAAAGCGAGCATAATTTTATGCGTGGAATAATATTTTAAGGTGTATAGACCTTCGCTTTGGTGAAATAAAAAAGAAAATAAGGTAGTTCCTTTGTATGGCCTTAAAATGAGTTTTGGCCATTTTCAAAGGAAGTATATGTGCGGAGATATTGTTTCGCAAAGTAAGAACACTTATATGTGTAAAATAATTTATATAGGTGGCTAAGCTTGGGTTTAGGCACTAGACAAAGAGAAATCTTATAGCTCCTTTGTAATGGGCATTCTGCCTTAAATTGGGAAAAATAGGCTTTTAGGTGGTAAGAGGAGTAATGAGTGTTCTAAAGGCCTTTTGGGACTATCCTAAGACTAAGTGAACATGTGGAATTTTGTAGGGATTTGTTGAACAAAGAACCACCCACTCATGACTTAATATGATTAAGTAAAAAGAAAATAAACAATAAAGTATGTGTCTTGTATATTTACATGGCATTATATCATTTTATTGAGTTTTGTGTTGAATTCCTTCTCTAGGTGTGCCTAGAGACTGTGAACGTTTGGATTCTCGTGGAGCAAGATAAATAGCTTGTTCTTCAAGTAAGCAAATTGTAAAGCTCCAAGAGGTAAGCTCTATGTTTATGGGGTTTGCTCCTACTTTGTGTTCCGCCATAGTGTACGGACTGTGGTCAGGTTGTATGATATGTATGAGATATATGATATAGATGCATTCATATAGAGCTATATGATAATATGATATGTTTTGTTTTGATGTATTTACTTTGATATGTGTTAATATGATATGTTTTGTTATGATATGACTTCTGTAATATGATTTCTGTAACAATATCTGGCCATTGATTGTATAGTACCCGGATGTTCGCTTTGGGGTCCTCCCTCGGGACTGATGGTGTACGCCTCTGATATGTTCTGGTTCCGCTTTGGGGTCCTCCCTCGGGAACACGTGCGTTGATTTCCGCTTGGGGTCCTCCCTTGGGAATGACTGCGTACGCCTCTGATAGGTTCTGGTTCCACTTTGGGGTCCTCCCTCGGGAACACGTGCGTTGATTTCCGCTTGGGGTCCTCCCTTGGGAATGACTGCGTACGCCTCTGATATGTTCTGGTTCCGCTTTGGGGT